AAAAAAACAAAAAAAAAAAAAAGAAGAACATAAAAAAAAACTTGGAAGAAGAAACAAAATGACCGTACCACAACGCAGGCCTCTCCGCCCAAGGGTCAGAAAAAAAAATAAGAAAAAACAAAAAGAAAAGAAGAGAGGGGGGAGTCTTTCCCCCCCCGCCAAAAAAAAAAAATTCCGCGACGACCTTTATAAGGGGTGTTTTGATTCATGGAGGACGCAGTTCTGGCTAAAGCGATGCTGGGCCATCTTTTTTTGGACACTTGTTGCGGTATACGTTCTATGTGATAGCGAGACACGAATATCATGGACTTGAGATGCATGCCTGTCGAATCACGCCTAGCCTGCTGCTCTTGCCCTCTCACTGTACCTGTCTGCTGGCGTGCATACCGCGCGTCGTCGACTTGCATCGATTCAACTTTTGGTCTCCCATGATCGTACTGTCGAAGATGGGTCTTGAAACATCTAGATACCAGCCGATCCCCCCGTTGAGCTCTCCCGCCCCGGCCCGATTGCGTCCAGCGGTTGAGCACCTCACTGTTGAGAATCCATCCGAGCAGATGAGCCACCAGCGCAAACCCGCTCGGAGGTCGAGCACGGCATCACGTCGAGAAGTCAGCCCCCGTTTTTGTTCTCACACAACCAGCCAGTAGACGGGCACCAGGCCCGCGACGAGCCCGAACACGCGGGACCGCCCGCGATCCAGCCACGTCCTGTACATACACGTACACGTCTCACACGTCGGGAGAATGCCGAGCGTTGACTTTAACCTTAATCGAGAGACAGCCGGCTTGCCGAAGGCCTAGACCGCAGACCGCTGGGCCATGTTGGGGACGAGGGCGGCAGGGAGCCGATGTTGGAATCGGGAAAGGAGACTTCTCGATGGAAAGGGGATCGATTTTTGGGTCCTGCCACGGCCCGCGTTCCTTGGTGGGTTGGTCTGACATGTGACGAACGGGATAGGAGAAAGAGAGAAGAGAAGAGAAAGAGGTCTCGGAGGTGGTGGGTTGTGATGGACTCTCGACACCCGATGGCCTGGAGGTTTCGTTGCCGAGACTGTGACAGCTGGTAGTGTAAGACATCTTCGACGAGTTCCACGACCAGCTTGCACGGCAGACCAGGAGCCTCTCGCTCATTCGTTGATAGGCTCAAGTGGTCACAGGCTGATGAACCCCCCCTCTTGAACAAGAGAAGGTGTCAACGGACTGACAGCATCCATGAGCACCTTTCGTAGGAAACTCGCGAAGGAATACAGCATCAGCATGGCTCGGTTGACCCCTTCTCCCCGAATGTCCACCCAAACACACCGCAACCACAGAGCCGCCTTTGCGCCGGTCCTGTCCCCCCTCGCGACCCCGAAACGTGCCTGTCCATTCATCTTGATTCGTCTGCGAAAACCTTATCGGCGGGCCAATGCAGCACAGCCCAGCATACGCACGAAACCGAGATGATAGCCAGCTCAACCGGCCAACACGGGAGCTCGGAGTCGAGCTCCCCCATCAACAATGACGACACACGCATGGAGCTCCCCCCTTACTGTCACACCTGGGAGGTATGCGTGCCTCGTTGGGCCCAGCACCACGGCTTGGCAATATGGAACCGCTGGCCCCCCCTCCTCCCTTCGCGGCGACAGCCTGCAGAGACGTCCATGCGCCCTGCAGTCTCACCGCCGCCGGAACGACACCACGGCAAAGCCGCCAGCAGAGGTGCAGCAACCTCTTGCTACGGTTCGGCTTGCTCATCGTCCGGACAAGTTACGATCGGCTCTGAGCAGAAACAGCCATGCACCGACCATACGTGGCTACTGTATAACGCCCGCGCGCGCGCACATGTCAGGGATACGCAAGGAGACGCAAATGCAACTGCAGACGACCGGGTAGCATGCAAGGCGGGAATATCGCAGGGTCCGTCACGAAGAGCAGCGGCCGCCAGAAGACCCAAGCTCGACCATGTTATTGACAGCTGGGTCCCGAGCGGGTGGCTGCGGGCGATGAGCTTGACTACGGGAATCATTGAAGGTTCGCCACCGACGGGCTGTCGGATGCAGGCGATCATTCTGCCATATTGGCCCGGGTTAACACGTTTACGCAGACGGAAGGCCAGCGGCTTTTGCAGGGTTCACACTGTTGTAGAAGGCCAGCTCTTGGTGATCCAGGTGGCGTTCTGGCGGTCAGGGCAAGAAACCCGATGACAACTCACAAAGTCCTATTGTACGTTTGAAAGGTCAAAGAATGGAGGTGATGAGAGGATCATCGTTGATCCGCACAAAGTTCGGGATTTGATCGACAGCCTCATGACGTCCCTGTCTTGATCACAGGGCGACTCTGTGGGAGGCGTAGTGCTTTTTCGCGTCCTGTTATTGTAGTCTGCGGCGTACTCGGAAGTTGCCCTGAACGGCTTCGGCTACGGCGCTCTCGGGTTGCGAAACGGAAACATGGCTGGGGAGAGGGCGGGGCGTGATACTGTGGATGCCGGAACAGGGTGGAGGTAAAAGGGTTGTTTGGAGGCTCCGGCGACCGGGGAGGCCGCCCACGTCCACGGGAGACAGCCAGAGACTGACAGCTCAAGCAGCTGTGACGCGATGCCCCTCTCGACCCTGGCGCCGATGCCCCTCTCTACCCGCGGCCCCCATCCCATTACCAAAGGAAGCAAGCCCCCCCTCCCCCCCCGAAGTCAAGACAATGTGGGACGAAGACTAGAGAAAGGAAATTCGAAACGGAATAGCACGTTAAGTCGCTGCATGCGCGAGGCAGCTCCCTGCTCACATTAGCTTTGGCGGCTAGCCGACGAGGACTGCTGGTGTTCAAGTGATGCGTACGAGGTAGCGCCAGTGGAGAGCTCTGGTCAGTGAGGCAGTCGTCCATCCATGATGCCGGGGGGGGGGGGGGGGGGGGGG